CTAGTGCTGTGGGAGCTAGTGCTGTGGGAGCTGGTGTTGTGGGAGCTAGTGCTGTGGGCGGTGATGGAGCTAGATAAGCGGATGGTGTTATCCATACCATTCCACGTCATCTAATGACACATCCCTTCACTTCCACCCTGCCTACGGCCCTCGTATCCACCTCACCGCTGGGGAAGGTACCCAAAAAAGTACACGATCATCATTTCTGCCATTAAGATGCTTATTCAGAATTCGGGTCGGGGTGTCCGGTTGCTTCGGAGGGCGGGTCAATATGACTCTGCAGGATCGCGGCGCCACAGGTCACTACATCTACGGAAAAAAGGAATAATTAATCGCGTCGTTGGTGATCCTGTGAGATGCTGGAGTAAGGGACTCTTGTCTTATTGGGTAGAGGGCGCCCTGAGACGCTGGAACAAACAGAAAGGGACCCAGTGAGATGTTGGACCAAGGTAGGGACTCCATAGAGAGTTAGGGGAGCGCGCTGACCAGACCACACGCTAGAAAGTGAAGGGACGACGACGTTTCGGTCCGTCCTGGACCATTCTCAAGTCAATTGTGGGGTAAATTAGAGGGGCTCCTTAGGGGGGGTCCCTGAGATCCTGCAGGGAACAAGGCAGCACAAGATATGCTAGAGCGGGAAAATGAATCCCGTGATGTAGATGCTCAGTTTGTAGAAAACTAAATTTCTGAGACTGTGGACTTCCTTTTGTGTAAATTATTAAATAAACTTGCCGACGACTTCTGCTAAAGCGGCAGAAATTATCTTGTAACATTACACAAGGGGGGGGGGCTTGACAGCTGAGTGAAGAGCGCTCGGGATTCGTAGTCCTGAGGTTCGGGGTTCCATCCCAGGTGGAGGCGGAAAAAATGGGCAGAGTTTCTTTCACTCTGATGCCCCTGTTTAGCTAGTAGTAAACAGGTATCTGGGAGTTAGACAGCTGCTACGGGCTGCTTCCTGGGGATGTGTAACAAAAAGGAGGCCTGGTCGAGGACCGGGCCGCGGGGACGCTAAGCCCCGAAATCATCTCAAGATAACCTCAAGAAGGAAGCAGGTTTCATTCAGTTTTGTTATGAACAAATCCACAAGGGCCGTGACGAGGATTCGAACCTGCGTCCGGGAGCATCCCAGACACTGCCTTAATCGACTGAGCTACGACAGAGTTAAAAAGAGTTGAAACCTTTGCTCCCGGACGCAGGTTCGAATCCTCGTCACGGCCCTTGTGGATTTGTTCACTTCATGCATCACGTTAGTGTGATCTCTGTGTGTAGTGCAGTTTTGTTATGTTTGGTGTATTTCATGACCCATAGATCATGGGTTTACAGAGACGCCGAGATACAAGAATCTATATTTTAGTTGTGTGTGAATACAGATTACTCTTCCATGCTCCTTAAGATCTAATATGTTTCCTCTCGTTTGCTGTAGCTTCACTAAACACATCATTTCACCAAAGGTCGATCAATCACACTGTTGTGTCAGTTCTCGTTCAGTCGTGAACCAATTACTTTTCGGGTGATAAGTCACAATAACGGGGCTATAGATACGGTGACCAAACTACTCATCAGAAGATGGAGAGACGACGACGTTTCGGTCCGTCTTGGACCATTATCAACGTCGACGTTTCATCATCTTCTGATGTGTGATTGACGCATCAATTAATTATCTTTCATGAACCAGTAAAATTTATACTGTATATTGAACTCATCGTCAGTCCTTTAACATTTAAGTAATGTAATGCTAACTTCTTAGGCTTTCATATAAGTAGATTATTGTAAATAAACTTTTTTTCTAATAAAGGCAATATTAAGATTTTACCTAAACCTGAATTATCTTTTTGTTAATATCTTATTATACGTTTTGTCTTAATATCTCGCTATCAACATTGATCAAATTCAATGCCAAAGCTGTCTTGAAGAGAATCTCACCTGCATGTTGATTCTGGAGACCCAGTGCCACCTTCCTTGCACTGGAGACCCAGTGCCACCTCCCTTGCACTGGAGACCCAGTGCCACCTCCCTTGCACTGGAGACCCAGTGCCACCTCCCTTGCACTGGAGACCCAGTGCCACCTCCCTTGCACTGGAGACCCAGTGCCACCTCCCTTGCACTGGAGACCCAGTGCCACCTTCCTTGCACTGGAGACCCAGTGCCACCTCCCTTGCACTGGAGACCCAGTGCCACCTCCCTTGCACTGGAGACCCAGTGCCACCTCCCTTGCACTGGAGACCCAGTGCCACCTCCCTTGCACTGGAGACCCAGTGCCACCTCCCTTGCACTAGAGACCCAGTGCCACCTTCCTTGCACTGGAGACCCAGTGCCACCTCCCTTGCACTGGAGACCCAGTGCCACCTCCTTTGCACTGGAGACCCAGTGCCACCTTCCTTGCACTGGAGACCCAGTGCCACTTCCCTTGCACTGGAGACCCAGTGCCACCTCCCTTGCACTGGAGACCCAGTGCCACCTCCCTTGCACTGGAGACCCAGTGCCACCTCCCTTGCACTAGAGACCCAGTGCCACCTCCCTTGCACTGGAGACCCAGTGCCACCTTCCTTGCTCCTAACTGACTCGATGGCTGTCTTAAACCTCTACATCAGCGCCTCACTCGTAACTTATCTAACTTCATCCCCATCATCTCCGATACAAATAACGGGTTTGATCCCACTTCCGCCATAATATCATTCATATGTTAAGAGAATAAATACTCCATTCCCGCTCCGGATAGCAAACCCGTAACCCGTTCCTGGTCTCTGGCACTAAAAGTCCTGTGTAAATACCTCACCCGGGAATCACCAAGAACTAAAATTCACTTACATCTTTTACCGGCACGACAGTCCAGCAACCAGGAGGCCTGGTCGACGACCGGGCCGCGGGGACGCTAAGCCCCGGAAGCACCTCAAGGTAACCTCAAGGTAAGGCACTCCAATCGTCTGCCTAACCCTTCGGGCGAACTGCAGCAGCCTGCCTACGGCACTGATCCTCCACAGTGGCGAATGAATGGGACGTCTTCACGAAAGCTGTAGTAGACCTTTTCAGGGTCTTCTTAAGTCCCAAGTCCTTCGTGACACTCCAGGACGAGGACTTACTAAGGCCGCTCACTTCCTCTTGTGGGCATAAGCGATGCTGAGTTACTGACATACACGATCCGGCTCAGTCCTGAGCCCCACACAGTTCCACGAAATCTCTCATTACACACCATGTAATATATATGTAACTTTGTTACTAGTTGATACAGTTACAGCCCCGCTCCTGTGCCGGGTAAGTCCACTACGGGCTCGCCATAGCCCGTGCTACTTGCAACTTTTGGTTCCCAGTAGCTGAATCTATACCAACCAACCTGGGTGATATAGACATGCGCAGACAATAGACCGAAAGGCCTTCTGTAGCGTCTTTTATTCAAATGGTGTGAACACTACAGTATGGAGGGGAGGGAGTAGACTACAGTAACTACAGTAACACTACAGTAGGGAGATATGGGTACAGGAGAAAACGCCAAGCCATTACGACTGCATAACACTTGGAAGGTATCAGGACAATATGATATGGGACGAGGGACGGGGGGGGGGAGGAATGGTGCCCAAGCACTTGAGACGGTCGGGAATTGAACGCCGACCTGCATGAAGCGGGGGGAAAGGAGCGGGAAGGCAGACAGAATAAGTAAGGGGAAAACAGGCAGCATGGGTAGGGTGGGAGGGGAGAGGAAGAGTGAGAGGGGGAGAGAGGGATGGGACCATCTGGAAGAGAAGCAACAGGTGCATACAGTAACTGTATCAGCCCTCGACAGCTGCCCTCAAGATGCTGAGGAGAAGGCAGCGGGGCGGGGACAGGGGGAAGGAATGAGGGAAGGGGAGAGGAAGGGGGAGAGGGAAGGGGGTGAGGGAGAGGGAGAGGGAAGGGGGAGAGGGAGAGGATGCCTGGGTGAAGGGTGGGAGAGATGAGTACAAGAAATGCAATATATACACTATGCATATTCAACTCCTACACACTACAGTATAACACTGAGAAGACATCAGGATAAGGATTTTTGGGATGGGACGGGGGGAAAGGAATGGTACCGAACCACTTGGTGGACGGTCGGGGATTGAACGCCGACCTGCATGAAGCTAGACCGTCGCATTACCGTCCACCCCAAGTGGCTGGACAGGCCTTGCAGGAGACAAGAAACTCAACACAAAAATAATCGTGAGCTGAAACGTTTCAATAAAGCCAACGGCGTTACCTAAATTGTGTGAGTGTGAACCTACCTTGAGGTGCTTCCGGGGCTTAGCGTCCCCGCGGCCCGGTCGTCGACCAGGCCTCCTGGTTGCTGGACTGATCAACCAGGCCGTTGGACGCGGCTGCTCGCAGCCTGACGTATGAGTCGCAGCCTGGTTGATCAGGTAACCTCCTGAGAGAGAGAGAGAAGCAGATCAAGCGGCACCGTTTGGGCTCACCTGACCACTTCAGCCACCTGCGCCTAATGTCTATCTAGCCAAATGAAACAACGACGTTTCTCTGCTGTTACAAACTTAAGGAGGAACTTGCAGCTTTTAAGAACCGATAATGATCCTTATTAACACAAGTTATGCCATTATCTTCGTTCGATAAATGAATCATATACTGTAATAATTTTTTTTACCAAGGAGTACACACCTATATATAGCTATATAATTCTACATGCATGGCTACATATACATATATGCAAAAGATCACACAACGTGTTACATATAAATGCAATCAAGTACGGGCAAAACTTCAGGAAAACTTTTGGAAACTTTTCCCCCCAAAAAATCACCTCATTTTCGGGGGTTATTTGATAAAATAACTATGCCCAAGATTACCATCAAAGTGCCGTCGGGATGATGGGCAAATAACCTCGACTACCATAATCTTTTGTACGGTCGTGATGGTCGAGTGGTTAAAGTCTCCTGTACACCAGTTGCATAGTGCTCCTGGTTTGTATGGGTTCGAGTCACTTCTGGGGTGTGGAGTTTTCAGTTGCATATATGCCTGGGGACCATTCAGGCATGTTCGCATATATTATATGCGAACAATATATATATATACGCATATATATACCTTCTATATACCTTCTATATATACCATAGTATATATAAATACCATCGTCTTTTACCTCTATTTGACGGCAAAAACTGAGCAAGAGGAGTGTGGACGTCACTGTCTGTCACCTGGTTGAGCCAGGTGGCCCTCTGTCATCCCCGCCCCCGTCACCAGGTGGGCGTAATTAGAGGTATGGGGGTGGTGATCTGTCAGGCTGTCTGTCTGTCTGTCGCTGCTTCTCGTAAGGTACCAGCTCACATTTACCTCAGGGGGGGGGGGGGAGGGAGGGAGGGAAGGGTTCAAGAGCTTCCCTTCAATCCAGGTGTTGTGGAGTGGCGGAGTGTGGCAGGTATTTTTAAGGTGGTGGTAATGGTGGTGGTGGTGGTGATGGTGGTAGTGGTGGTAGTGGTGGTGGTGGTAGTGATGGTTGTAGTGGTGGTTTAGAGTCAGGATTGAGCACCATATTTACAAATTTGCAGACGACAAGAAACTCAGAATCACTTCCAAGACGGTCTATATATCTTTAAAATGGTCGAAAGATTGACAGATGCAGTTTTAATGCTGACAGATATAAGGGTCTGAGACTTGCCAATGAAGACAAAAGTTGCTAGACATTAGTTGGATGGGCTCCAAGGTACTTAGACTTACCTTAGTACCTTGGTGCCTTAGTCCCTTGGTACCTTAGTCCCTTGGTACCTTATGGTACTATCAGGCTCAGGCGTTATCAACTCTCCTAATCTTGACATTTCTTAAGCATATAACAGCGTCTGACGTATCAAATCACCTTACTTTTCGATGATTTCGGGGCTCAACGTTCCTCGCGGCCCGGTCCTCGACCAGGCCTTGATCACGGCCCAAGTCACTATATAGAATTATTGTCTGGAATGATGGAGTGCTGTCCAATCACTGTGACATCTCATAGGCTTCAGCCTACTGCCTCTTCCCCATAGAACTCTGTCTACACGTCACCGGTAATATGGTTTTAGCGTCAACGTTTAAAACATATTATAAAACGCTTGACAGCTGAGTGGACAGCGCTTCGCATTCGTAGTCCTGAGGTTCCGGGTTCGATCCCCCGGTGGAGGCAAATGGGCAAACAGTTTCTTCACCCTGATACCCCCTGTTACCTAGCAGTAAATAGGTACCTGGGAGTTAGACAGCGCTACGGGCTGCTTCCTGGGGATGTGTAACAAAAAGGAGGCCTGGTCGAGGACCGGGCCGCGATGACGCCAAGCCCCGAAATCACCTCTAGATAACCTCCCCCCCCCCCCCAGGCCACTTGTTCGTCTGAGTAGTTTACAAGGGGGTCGGGACTCATTACCCCGGTATAGAGAACGCTTAAACAAAACAAATGCGAGTTGCTTCAAGAGTTGCCGAGGTCGTGGTTCAGCGGCTTATCCCAGCAGTCATCTGGTGTGCTAACTGGCCAATCAGCGGCTCGATACATCATGGCTCGCCCGCGTCCCGATCCCCTTGACCGACGCTGGCTTTGGCGACGCCTCCTGGCAGAACACGACTTTTAAAAATAGATTGCAGGCTTTTGAGCTTATTTTCCTTCGTGTAACATAATACAAAAACTTGTCTAGAACTGATATCGGAAGACTTTCCTGTATTATTTATTCGAGAATAAATTTAGTGATGATCACTAATTTTCCTGGGTAGGCCTACCCAGTTAGCCGTTTGCAACGCTTCAGTAGGCCTATGTGTTTTATTCCAATTATGGCAAACCAGAAAACTTAGCCAACTATGTCTACTGTAGATTGTGGATACACTTGACTGTTGTTCTGTTGTAGATCGTGACCAAAACTACAGGACCAAGACCAGGTCGGGGCCGAGGGTTGGGACGAGTGTTGACACCTGATACAAGGGTGTTGAGCAGCAGGTCGCTCGTAGTCTCCCTCAATCTTATCTCCTGACGATGCCCATGCGTTCCCGGCCTGGCCCACCTCCTCTACCTGGCCCACCTCCTCTTCTACCTGGCCCACCTCTGCCTCTACCCGGCCCACCTCTGCCTCTACCCGGCCCACCTCTGCCTCTACCCAGCCCACCTCTGCCTCTACCCGGCCCACCTCTGCCTCTACCCGGCCCACCTCTGCCTCTACCCGGCCCACCTGCCAGTATTTGGAACGACTCAACCTCCCCTATTCCTACCACTGGACTTGCTTTACACAATATACTATATTTACAATATATATATATATATATTACAACATTTACACACTCTCTGTCTTTCTGTTGCACTGTCCTATCTTTAACGTGTGATTTGCAGCATATTCCATTTTTTAAATCATTTGATTCCTTTCCACTTACAATTTTAAACAAGAGAGCCAATTAATTGATACCTAAGTAATTGATGTCCTTCAAGTCATTAAGAATATATAAGCATGTTTCAAGAGTGATTGAAACAGAACTCGAGAATGGTTTCCTTTTAGAAGTGGCAAGGCACACACACACACACACACACAC